ATAGATCCCCTTCCAAGTGGTTGACAGTGGTAGCCGGGCACCATCTAGTTCTTCTGGTCTCATAGTCGTATAGGCTGCAGATCGGATGGTGTACCAGAGGCTAGGACTAATTGTTTCCATGAATTTTGTTTTTCTTCATTCTTCTCTCCTCTGGACGCAGAGAGACCCATCGTTGCATCTAGATGGCAGCGTGCAAGCTTTTAAGATCCCAGTTGCTACTTACCAAAGTAGGAGGTGGAACAATGTTTTGTGTAGTATGTTACCCCAATTAAGCTTGATGTCCCCTGTGACTATGGTCCTGAGCCCACAGGTTCAACTACTCAGTCACTCTGGGTAGCCGGCTGTGACCAAGCAGTGACTACAACCTTGCCCCTTGTCAGCTCTACTATACATCTGGGGATTCAGATCATACACATAAACTTATAGGACCATTGTCTACCAACCCTATACATATTCTTGGGTACACGCCCTGCTTCATAGTCATACCTACTAGTTCAGCATACAGGCCTTTTCTAAACTAGGAACGGAAAATAAGTGGCACATGTATCACCACTAACCTTTCCATACCGAAGGCAGTCATCACTAATCAATCACAGCACTCTGGAACAAAGCCTGAATGTGGACTCAATCTCCTACTCAACAGAGCTCCCAGTAGCTATGACCAGTCAATTAGACGAGCCACAGGAAGCAAAATCTTTTTGCAACCACAGGTCTAAATGATTGTTTTGATTTGTCCTGACCACTCTAGTATTTATGCATAGCAAAATCAATATTTTAAGGTCCCCAGGTCTCTAAGTCCACTTAAAGACTGAAGCCTAAAGTAGGCCATCTGGGGCCAGGCTTAAGCTAAGTATAAAAAGGGGTCAATGTTATGTTTAGATGGTTCAGCCTTTTCTTTCTATTGCTTTTATCTCCCTCCATGATAATAACCCTCTCCTAATAGACATGGAAGGAGCTCTGGTGGTGACAAGACTACCTATAGCCTCATACACATCATTGTTGATTATACAGAACAGGGAGTTCCAAATCCTTTAGGGTACCAATTCCCAAACATAAGTGGGCTTAGGAATCACAGGATGAGCTTGTTAACAAGCAGAGTCCAAAGCCTCATCCTAAGCATTCTGACTTAGTGAGGCTGGAACGAGACCCAGAAAAAGACAGTTTGGGCAGACACCACACTTCTAACTCAGGTAGTGCCAGGTCACTCTTTTTTGGATTCCTTAACTTGCTGTTGTCCTTTGGTTTAGGGGTTCACATGCATGGATGCCCTTCTAGAATATTTTCAAGTATATACGAGAATATTTTGCTTTCAGAAAACTTTGGATTGAAAAGAATTATCAAAGGAGATAAATCAGGAAATAACCTCTTTCATTGCAAATACATCTTCAACATACTAAAGGATCTGGTCGTTCCAAAAGCCAGCTTCCCCAGTGTGTTTAAAATAGGATTTAAAAATATGATTCATACTCAAGTTTCTGAAACCTAGCTATTGCAGAAAGAGATTTTATGTTCCTCTGAGTATATAAGGAGCCCCAGCTGACACAAACAGGTAAGTGCTCCACCCTGAGACTTAAAGGTTGGCTGCTGGAAGCCACCCAGAGGTATCAGAAGACAGGCCTGGTGAGCGGCTTCCAAAAGATCACAGCCTTGAAAACCCAACGGAGCAGTTCGACTCTGCACACACGGGGGCACCATGAGTCACCAATGACTTGATGTCAGCTAACAGCAACTGAGAACATAGTTTTTAATTTGATACAGATATTTTTTAAACAATAATAAATGAGTTCTCAGGTACTTAATCAGGGGCACTTAAAAATAAACTAAAACCTTGTAACTAGAATGGAAAAAACTCAACCTTCCTGTTCATAGAGGAGCTCTGGTGGCATAGTGCCTAAGGCACTTGACTGCTAACCAAAAGGCTGGCGGTTCAAACCCACTAGCCACTCCTCAGAAGGAAGGTTGGGCAATCTACTTTTGTAGTGATACTGCCTCGGAAACCCAAGGAGGGGTCGCTATGAGTCGGATGCTCTTGTTTAGAGAACTTCTTTCTCCTGTCTGGCATCCTCCCTCTAGTGGTGGCTAGAGCTGGCTTTGACTAAATTGCATGCATCTCTGCTTGGCTGTGTTCAGTGAGATCACATTGCTAGCTTGAAATCAGCCTTTGTGGCAGTATGGAAATTGGCCAGTGCAACAAATCAGGGCCTTTTTTTTTTTAACTCCCCGATTGCTGGTTTACCAGCACACCACTGCTCTTGGCTCTCAGCTTTGTTTCTCCCAAAGGCAGAACTTTTCTGTCTGCATAGATTATAAAACTACTGGTCTCTTTGTTCTGACTCCAAGACTACTTTTCCACTTCACTTTCTACATGAGGAATAGCATCATCATTTCTTTCTCTTTCTCAGGTCCAGATCCGTGCGTGCTAATGTTTTCTTTTTCTCTCCAGCCACCTTAATAGTATCTTTTAGCTTTGTCTTCAGGCAAGAGCATGTACTGGAGAATGTAAAGTACTCCTCAGCTATGTTGATGAAACAGAAAACAAACAGTTTTCATTAGCAGAACACTTTCTAATTCTAACTTTGGGATGTCATGCTTTCTTTCCTATCTAGCTTCCTACTCCTCCCTGAAGCAACATTCCAGGCCCATCTTATCCTTTCGGAGACCACTGCTACTGATGCTAACTAAGCCTCATTATGGATTCATCTCTAAACCAGACAGAAATAAAAGCCATGAGAGCAAGAGACTTGCTCTTGCCAATTCACGATTACCTCTCAAGTAAAATGGGATGAAGGGATGTGAATTGATAGAGTTCAAGGTCATATTAAGAGTTCGTAGAAAAACATTCGCTCTCTCTGCCTCTGGCACCAAAGGGCTTGTTTTCTTGCTAACGTAGAAAGGAAGAAGTGAATGTCCTCATAAAGGAAAGAATGTGGGTGCCTGTTGCTGTACCAAAAGACTCTGATAACAACAGCACCTGGAAGCATTTCCCGGGAATTTGAGCTGTGCCAGTGTAAATTCTGACCTAATGAAGGTGCTGATGGCCATCAGTACCATCAGAGCACAAACAGTGGCCGGAATGAGGCTGGGGGATTCCCTGGCCCCTTCATTCTCCGGTTCTTATAAAAAGAATATGACACTGATTAATTCTTGAGCCTTTAGAAATGGATTATCCAGGTGGTAGACTCTTTCCTTCTGAGTCAGAGAGCTGGAGAGGATCCATGCCAGTCCTTTTATTTTTCAGGTGAAAGTGAGACTCAGAGAGGTTAAGTGACTTGCTGAAGGTCACACAGAAGCAGAACAGGGATAAGAGATCAGGTTCCTGAGCTCCAGCTCAGGGTTCTTCCCAATACCCACCCCCATACACACACAGACCTTTCAATTGACTGGCACAAGTGTTTACAGGTTCAGCTGGGGACTCACTGATTAATAAGCCACACAGACCCACTCTCTGCCTTCCAGAAGTTTGCAGTCCAGTGTGGGCTGACATTTCTCGCAGTACCTGCCTGATTGCATCCCTTCTGCCACTGAGCATTCTGAGCTTGTATTAGCATTGCTTCTGTAGCAAAGCCCCACTTCTGGGTCCCGTGGAGCAGTTAGAAGAGGAAGTTGAGACCTGGAAGCTAAGTGACTTGCTCAAGACCTCACAGTAACAGAATCTGGCTGCAGAAAGAACTTCCAAGGCTGACTAACTAACTGGTGGGCAACTTCAGCATTCTTGTTGGCAACTCCGCCCTGCACATAATGTGATTGACTTATAGAGCTGGTAGCCATATAATTTATCATCCACACCAGGACATTCTGAGAGTGAATGGAGCTGCCAGAACAAGTGTAAACCGGGGTTGCACCAGACACACCAGGACATGTGGTCATCCTATTTACACGTAACTCTCCTGGCATAGGTCATTGACCAAGGTCAAATGCAAATAGGAGGCTGGATGAATGAAACTCAGGTTCAGCATGACTTTCTTTCAGTCTGGAACTTCACTCTGTCAGGACATGTCCTTAGAATACTCAGCAGTAACACGCCACTTATTATGATCTTGATTTATGACCCTTCATCTTTGCAAACCAAGGTGATTGTGGCTGTGCCACTTAAGTAGAGGAATTTGAAGGCTGTGGAGCTTATACCTCCCAGCTCTCACTTAACTGGAAGAGAACTGATGATGTCTTCCAGCAGACCACAGCTGCCGCTGACTCCTCCCTCCAAAAAAGCCTACTTAGGAATGTTCCAGAGAAGAGAGTGCACCCCATACCCTCCCTAACCTGTACCTCCTCCTCAGCTTTATAGGCTCTTTCAAGCTGCATCACCCCCCCATGATAGGACTTCAGATCCTGTTTAGAGTCCCCTCCTTGTACCCCAGGACCCTCCTCTTTCTCCACTGCTACTTCAAGCGACATGAAAAAGGCTTGAAAGCAGGTTGATCACAGGACCATGGCAGCTCACCACAGAAAGTGTTCTGATCATGTATTCCCAACAACAGCCACATATTCTGAAATAACCAATATGTGGTCTGACATGCAGACGTGTATTTATGGAGAGAATGGAACGGAATTATAAATTGAGGCCATCTTAGAAAATTCAGAATGTAGCCTTAGACTCAGATACAGTGAGGCAGAGGAGCAGAGTGGCTGAGAGCTTGGGCTTATTCTTAGGCTTGTGTCCTAAGCTATCTTTGTGACTTTGGAAATCTCTGTAAAACTCCGTGTTATCACACATGAAATGGAACAAAAAGAGTCCTTGCCTCAAGGGCTATTGGGAGTATTAAATGAGATGGTGCATATAACGTTTTCACAACAGAGCCTACCCCAGAGTAGCTGTTTTGGGGGATGGGACTTCTCTCAACTTAGATATGTCAAGAAAGAGACTATGGATTTTTTTTTTTTTTTCCCCTTAACTAAAAGTTTGCAGAAGCTCCCACAAGAAGGGGAAAAGAAGGGGAATGTTGTGCTTTCTTCAGTGACTAAACCAGTATTTTTGCTCCCTTACAGGGATCTCGGAAGCTTCTGGAACTCGTCAGGTACCACATTGTCCCATTTACCCAGGTTGGTCCCATTTTTTTCTGTCTTTATTTTCCCACCCTTTCAAGATATTGGACCTGGTCTTGAGTGCCAATATTTTTTTGTGCTAGAAAAAGTATGATGCTTGTACTTTATCTGTGGCTCTAAGTGAACCCTCAACCACGAATAAGTCTATTATTGAAGGAATCTTCAAAACCGCAAAAACTTGTGACACCAAAGCGCTGATTATTTATTTCAGGATCTTGAAGTCTATTTCCTTCTGTTGAAGACTAAGAAATAGGCGTCTTCATGCTGCTCTGAATGTCCCTATTCATTCCTTTCATTTCAGCTTGAAGTGGCCTCACTCATTTCAACCCCTCACATCAGAAGCATGGCCAACCAGATCATACAGTTTAACACAACCAACAATGTAAGTGGAAAATCTACTTCTGGTATCATAGGCATATGAATTTTTGCTTTGATTTTGACTATTCGTCAAGATATCCTACCTCTACACTAACACGCAGGCCTAAATCTTTATGATTATTTCATTCGTTAATTCAAACATTTGCTGAGCAATTGCCATGTGTGAGATTCTAAGCCATCTTAGAAAATTCAGAATGTAGCCTTAGATACAGTGAGGAAGAGAAACAGAGTGGCTGAGAGCTTGGGCTTATTCTTAGGCTTGGGCTTATTTCATTGCCAGAGAAAATGCAATGAAAAAGGAGGCTCACATCCCAATACGGTAATGAAACCTTAAACAACTAATTAGCTAAATAGTTAGCTATTTACTTGTAATTTTAATAAGTGCCACCAACAAGAAGTTTAGAGGGCTGTAAGAGCAAATAACAGGAGGAGGCTGAGCTAGTTGAAAAGTCAAGAAGTACTCAGTGAATGAGGAAGTGATGTTTTGGCCAAGCTTTGAAGAATACGTAGAAGAGAACTTGGGGCAGAGATGAGTGAAAAGGAGTTCCAGGAAGAAGGGAGAGAATGTGCAAAGGCCCTGATGTGGAAGGGAACATGACTTATTTAAGAAACTTAAAGAAGACAAGGTTATTCAACTAAGGAAACCCTGGCCTGTAATATCAGCAAAAGTCTAATAGCGTAGACCTTATATCTCCTATTGATTCACTGTTGATAACAACAATGATGACCACTCATCCTTTCATCAGATACCTGTTGAAGGCCTACTATGTGCCAGGCACTGATTCAGATGCTGGGGATAGGCCAATGAACAAACAGATAAAAGTCCCTGATTGCATGGTACATTTGTTCTAGTAATTAGGGGGATAGACAATAAAAGTTAAATAAGTTCACTATGTCATATGTTAAAGAGTGATAAGCACTAAAGAAAAAAACAATAAAGTAGTGAAGGAGAGCAGAATGTGTCAGGATAGGCATGGGGCTGCTATGTTGGGTACAGTGCCTAAGAAGTCTTCATGGAGAAGAAAATGAGCAAAGGCCTGAAGGAAATGAGGCAAAAAGCTGTGTGAATGCCTGGGAAGAGTATTCCAGAGGAAGGGAACAAGTGCAGAGGTACAGAGCAGGGAGCGTGCCTGATCTGTAGGAGGAACAGCAAGGAGCGTGGCTTCAACAGAGCGAGCAAAAGGGAGAATGCTCGGTGCTATGGATTGAATTTTGTTTCCCAAAAATGTATAATGGAATCCTAACCCCTGTACCTGTAGATATGACTTTGTTTAGAAATAGGCTTTTTGTTTGTTTTCTTTTGCTTTATTTGGAAATAGGGGGTTTTCTTTTGTTATGTCCTAGCAGAGTAGTGGGTGCCAAATCTGATCACCTCGAAGTTATAAAAAGAACAGAACAGTCACAGAGGCACACATGAGGGGAAGACACCATACAAATTATTAGAAGCTGAAACAGAAAGAGAAGGACCTCCCTAGAGCCCTGAATTCAGACTTCTCATCTTGAACTGTGAGAAAATAAATTTCTGTTCTTTAAAGCCACTCACTTGTGATACAGCAGCCCTGGGAAACAAAGACAGTAGGGAAGGAGGTCCAGGCAGTAAGAGAGAGGGAAAAGAGATGGGACTAAGAACTCATGGTAAGAACCTAGGCTCTTACTTGGAATGAGATAAGAAGCAATTGTTGTTGTTGTTGTTATGTGCCGTTGAGTCGGACCCAACTCATAGCGACCCCTCCTTGGGTTTCCGAGGAAGTATCACTACAGAAGTAGATTGCCCCATCTTCCTTCCGAGGAGTGGCTAGTGGGTTTGAACCTCCAGCCTTCTGTTTAGCAGTCAAGTGCCTTTTAGGCACTATGCTACCAGAGAGAATTTTAAGCAGTGGAATGACAATGTCAAACATAGATTTTCATAGGGTTAGGAGGCTATTATGTTGTTTTAAGCCAGAGAAGGATGATGGTGAATCAGACCAGAGTGGTCACAGAGAAGTGGTTGGATTCTCAATATATTTTGAAGGTTGACTCAATTGAATTTACTGGAAGACTGAATGTAGGATGGAAAGAGAGGAAGCCAGGGGGGGACTCCTGGGTTTTTGACTTGAGCAACTGGAAGAGTGGAGTTACCATTGATTCAGAGAAGGAATATTGCAGGCAAAGCAGGTTTGAGGAGAAAGTGGGGATGAGAATTTGTTCATTTTGTGCTTCCTTAACTAAAACATAAGCAGGAACTTGTCTGTGTTTTTTCACTGATGTATTGTCAGCTCCTAATCCAAGGTCAATAAATATTTTTGAATGAATGCATCGTCCTTTCACCAGAGAGCAGTAAAACAATTTACCAAGGTTACATAACAAATACATTGTAGAGCTGGGACAACTCTGCTTCTCCCTCCCAGCCCAGCATCTGTGAGGAGCATTTCTGTGAGGAGATCCTTGCCTTATGTAATCATTTCCTAGGTCTGCCACAACAAAGTGCCATGGATGGGGTGGCTTCAAACCACAGCAGTTTATTCTCACACAGTTCTGGAGCCTAGAATTTCAAATTCAGCATGTCAGCAGGGCCATGCTCTCTCCAGAAGCTCTAGGGGGAAGATCCTTCCTGTCTCTTCCAGCTTCTGGAACTCTCAGGCGCTCCTTGGCTTGTGCGAGCATCACTCCAATCTCTGCCCCTGTTTTCACACAGCCATCTTCCCTCTCTGTCTCTTCTCCCCTTCTTCTAAGGACACCAGTCATATTGGAGTAGGACCCACCCTACTACAGTATGACCTCATGTCAACTTAACTAATTACATCTGCAAAGACACTATTTCCAAACAAGTTCAAACTCATAGATGCTGTGAGTTAAGACTTGAACATACCTTTGTGGAAGACACAAATCAATCTCTAACCCCTGCTGCCAGTCAAGAATTCATTTAACAGAATCATACTTCCCTATGAGTCAAGCCCTTCTCATAGCAGCTCCCACTCAATTAAGTGAAGTGAATAATTTAGAGAGGTCGCCACCATTCAGGCTGCCCAGTGATCCTGCAGTACAGAATGAAACATGTCATTGCTTCTTTCCAGGGACAAATTCTTGCAAACGGTGTGGCAATGGAAGAAATTGAAGTTGCTGCCAAAAATGGCAGAATTTACACCCTGACTGGAGTTCTCATTCCTCCTTCCATCACCCCAATCCTGCCTCACCGATGTGATGAAACCAAGAGAGAGATGAAACTGGTAAGACAACTGGGAAAATGGACAAGGGCAGCTAAGGAGCCAGTCCCTCAGAGCCAACAACGGGCCACTCCTCACGAGTCTGAAGAGGTGGGGAGAGCTTTAGCTACCAGAGCCTCGTCCCTGTTTTCACAAAGAGACAGGTGGGCCTGAGGTCGAAGCTCATAAATTGTGAACCAAGATTCCTTGGAGAATTTCCCCAGGGCTCTAGGAACAGATGGAGGTTGTCTTGCCCCATGGAACTTAAGATCAGTTTCCTACCTTTACCTGTCCCTGTCCTGTCACCTGGGACCACCTGCTCCAAGCCCACAGCTTCTCTTCTCTCTAAAACAGACTTTCAATAGAGTTTCTCTCAAGTGGATGATCCGGCCAGCTCATCAATCACCTTTCTGTAGTTCTTTTCAAATACCAAAATTTCTGTTTTCCTATGAGCTTGTGTACCCCCCAATGGCCCTTCCTGTTTCCATTGTGGCTTTGTGGCTCAGCCAGTTTCAATCAGCACACCTCAAATATCAGCACCTTCATATATGCCATCCTTTGGTTCCCATGGAAACCATAACCTTAAAGTTGTTGTAATAATAGGTCTAGGTCTTTCTTCTCAGGACACTTCAATAATACCTTGATTGTTCTCGCAGTATCCTTAGAACATGGACATTGAACAAGGAATTTTAAAAATTAGGGAAGAAAAACTGTTGTCATCAAGTCAATTCTGACTCATGGCCAGCCCATGCGTGACAGAGTGGAATTGCTTCATAGGGTTCTCTTGGCTGTAACCCTTATGAAAGCAGATTGCCAGGCCATTGAAGCTACTGGGTTTGAACCACCAATCTTTAGATTATGCCACACAGGGATACTAGAATAAGAAATAATGGCTCCACTTTATAGATTTGATTTTTTTCATAGATCCCTCTTCTTGTCATAAAGGCTGGGAATAGCTGGTTAAGCATCTGGTATAGGATTGTGGCCGGTTTCTTAGATTCCAGATTTCTTGCTGTAATGACCCTGATATATGTTGATGTAATGTAAGTAATAATTCTGATATATGATAGCCTGCTGGGGATGGTACCAGTCCTTCATGTTTGTCAGATACCAGCTGGGGCATGTAGTTCAATTCTGAGCACCCTTTGTGTGTGTGTGTGTGTG